AAATGAAAAAAAAAAAGTATTATGAAATTCTTAGAATATAGGATTCTAGAATAATGAATTCTACATTTGCGTGTTGAGTAACATCTTTGGGCAATTCTTTTTTCAGCTGTGAAGCTGTTTAAAATTTAAGTAATGAAATGAACTGAACATAGAACCAAATTTTACAGAATATTAACCCTGATTTTAAAAAGAATATAAAACATATTCCATCATTTTAAAATAGTTTTTATTTTAGTTTTTTGCTAAAAACTAGGGCATGTTCACTCACCAGAGTCAGAGAACATGTGTGAGAGAGAGAGAGGAGGGAAAGTGAGAAATCATCCCCTAGGGATATGGCCAAATTACAATCCCTTCTTCATTCTCTTCTCAGGATTTTGGGCACACATGCACATGTACCTGGTGTGATTTTCAAGCTGCCAGACTTAGGACTTGAACCACTCAGTCACGCATGTGGGATCCAGCCACTTTAACCTATGCTACCTGCTGGCCTCCCATTATTATTATTATTATTATTTTTACCAAAACTTTTAATAATAGTTTTAGGAAGAACAGAACTATTTTGGTATCATTAATACATAACACAAAAACTGTTCAAGAATTATTATCCCATTTTTATAAAACGTCCTTTTTGGTGTATTTTTTATAAGTTATATAGTACAATAATATGGTAACGTGTATGTAATTTACAAAAAATATAAAATAAAATAAAATGAAAATAAATGATAAGGGCATATGTTCAGAAATGTTTTTACTATTGTGGTGAACCATCAAAAGTTTGGAGACCCTGGCCTGTACACAAAGACTAAAATCCTTTTTATGGCACACAGGCTGACCCCTTGCAATCTAGTCATGATTATCACTGTGTCCCCAGTTACTTGGGGCTTCTTGCTGACTATATTGCATGCTGTATCTTCTGTCACGCTCTGAGACCTTGTATAGACTTTGCCTTTCTCTTGCCTTCTTCTCAGAGCACCCTTTCCTGGTGTATCTGTTGATCTCCAAAAAATCCAGTTCTTGAGTCACTGTTTTCCTGAACTCTTTCAGCAAAGATGCTGACTCTTTTAAAATTTCCTTCCTTTTTTTCTTCCCTTCTTCCTTCCTTCCTTTTTTGGAGAGGTTTTTGCTATAGGGTGTATGTGCTTGCCAGAAAGACAGAGATAGAGAGATAGAAAGTGAGACACCCCCCCCCTCCACCCAACCCCTGGGAGGATGGACACATTGCAATCCCTTCTCCATTCTCCTCTCAGGATCTTGGGTACACATGCACATGTGCCCGGCGTGAGTTTAAGCCACCAGGTCTGGGACTCGAACTGTGGTTGATCGACTACATGGAGTCCAGCGACATAGCCATTACACTAACTGCTGGTCCCTATTTTCTTTCTTTATGACAGAGTGTGTGTCTGCACGAGAGAGAGAGCATGTGAGAGAGCAAAACACCCTACACAGGGCCCAGTCATATTATAATCCCTTTTCTCCACTCCTTCTGCACTTGTGTGCATGCCTGGTGTGTTTCAGGTGCACTGGGCTGGGAATTGAACTGTGATTGCCATGTAGGGTCTGGCTTCTTTTGAGCCAGAATGCTATTGCTGCACCATGGACCTGGCCATTTTCTGACTCTCCCCCCACCCTTTAATTACCAAAGGGCCTGTGTGCTCTCTAGAAAGAGAGAAAGAGAGAGAGAGAGAGAGAGAAAGCAAAACTTTCTATTCTCCCCAGTGAGACCTGGTCACACCACAGCGCCTTTCTCATTTCTACATCCTGTTAGGGTTTGGGGCACACTTGCACACATGCCCAGTTTTTCTTTTCTTTTCTTTTCTTTTCTTTTCTTTTCTTTTCTTTTCTTTTCTTTTCTTTTCTTTTCTTTTCTTTTCTTTTCTTTTCTTTTCTTTTCTTTTCTTTTCTTTTCTTTTCTTTTCTTTTCTTTTCTTTTCTTTTCTTTTCTTTTCTTTTCTTTTCTTTTCTTTCTTTTCTTTTCTTTTCTTTCTTTTTTTAAGAGATTTTGGCTACAGGGTGCATGCACTTGCCAGAGGGACAGAGACAGAGAGACAGAAAGCAAGAAATCACCCCCTCCCCCACCCCCAGGAGGGATGACTGTGCTGCACTCCTCCTCTATTTTCCTCTCAGAATTTTGGACATGCACACACATGTGCCTGGCATGAGTTTTAAGCCACTGTGTCTGACTCAAAGTGCAATCAACCATGGGGGAGTCCAGTGACATAACCGTTATCTGCTGGTCCCATATGGCTTGTTTTTTAAGCTATCAGGAATCAAACCACAATCAGCCATGTAGGATCTGGCTCCTTCAACTACTAGAATAGGGGGCCAGTCCACTTCTCTGACTTATTTTTTTTTAAGAGAGAGATTTTTGTTATAGAGTGTGTGTGCTCACCAGAGAGACAGAAGCAGAGAGACAGAAAGTGAGAAATCACCCCTCCAGGGGAGATGGCCACGCCGCAATCCCTTCTCCTCCATTCTCTTCTCGGGATTTTGGACACGCACACACATGCGCACAATGTGAATTTTAAACCACTGGGTCTGGTACTCAAAATGTGGTCCACTACATGGGAGTCCAGTGATATAACCATTACGCCATCTGCTGGTCCCCTGCTTCACTGACTTTTAAGAAATAAAGTATTACTTCATCACTCATGTTGTTTCTGTATCCCTTATATCCTTTAACAGGTTGCATATTTATTTTCACATCTTTCTCCTGTTCTAGAATGTTAGCTGCTTAGGGATTGTGTTCTTGGGTTTTCTTTTTCTTTTTCTTTTTGTTTTTTCCATATGCCAGAGAGAGAGAGACAGGCATTTCCAACATTGTCCTTATACCATGATCCATCCCTAGCCTTGGCCAGCCTGGATCATGGGTATGCATATACATGTCCAGTGTGTACGGGGAGGGTGTAGGATTTGAACGGAGGACCTTCCTGTGTGGGACTCAATTGTATTACCACTGTGTTACTGTGTGACTCCTGGCTTTATTATTATTTTTTAAAAATTTATAACTCTTTCTTTTTTTCTTTCTTTTACATTTATTCACTGAGCATCATCACAGCATACAAAATGTGATTTCTGATCCAGAATACATTGTCTAGTGGATTAATTATACATGTTATCATCATCAAATAATTTTCCATTTCTTGTTTCATATATATATGTATGTATGTGTGTGTGTATACACACACCTATATTTCTCCCCATTTCTCACCCTCTGCCATTTCCCACCCTTCTCTGACACTATCTCTACAGTTGCTTTTCATTTTTTTCCCTCCCCACACACATTTTATTGATTCACAAAATATCTTAATAAGTCTAACTACTTTCAATAGCAAGTTCAGTTGGTATATACATGTCTGTGAAGACATGTCTGACTTTAGTCATGAAACTCTGAGTAGAATGAATATACTATAAAGTAGCACCTAGCTGATGTTATATAGCTTACTGCAGTCATTAAATAGGTAATTTTTAATATATTTTTTAATTTCAAGAAAATCAGTTTTAGCATTAATAAATCAGAATAGAAAAATGCTAAAAGAGCTTTGCTTAAAGCTTAAAGCCAGGAAACAGGTTAGGATTCTGTTCAAATAGTAGGTACATGAACCTATCGGAAGCTCAAGACAAGACAAAAATCCTTAAATCTGGAAAACAAAGCATAGGAGAAAATCAGTAATGTTTTAGTCAAAAATCGTAAGATCCTATTTCACCAGTTCAGTCTCGTGTACTTAATCTATCTTCTGTTGTGGTCTAATCTTTCCATTTAAATTCTGGAAGATGACATTCAACTCCAGATTTGTCCCTACAATTAAGTTGGCCATTTTCTTAGTTTTTGAACTCTTATTTCTGTGTATCTGTATTTAATTTTTCTGGTATAGCAGTTCCTTCAGAACTTCTTGGAGAGCTGGTCTGGTGTTGGTAAATTCTTTCAGATTTTGTTTATCTGAGAATGTTGTCTCTTCTTCCCATATGAAGGATAATCTTGCCAGGTACAGTATCCTTGGTTGAAATTATTTTTCCCTTAACACTTCACAAATATTTTCCCATTCTTTCCTTGCTTGCATTTTTCTGATGAGAGGTTTGCTCTAATGGCATCTAGTATTTCTCATGTATTATTATTATTTTTGGGGGCTATTTTCTCAGTTTTCATGGTGGATTTTTTCTAGGTTAGTGATTCTGTCTTCTACATCTGAGATTTGATCTTCTGTATGATCTAATCTGCTTTTAATACTTTCAAGGGAGGTTTTGATTTCCTGTATTACAGTCTTCATCTCTAATAGTTTCATTGATTTTTTATGGTGTGTATTTCCTCTTTCAGATTGTGCAAGAACTTCCTTACCTCCTGGAACTTGTTGGCTCTTCTCCTGCATATTCTGGAGTTCATTGTCTCTCTTTTCTTCCATCTCTGTTAGCTTCATCACTATGAATAGTCTAAATTCTTTATCTGACATTTCCATGAATTCCATTTTATTGTCTGTGGATGAAGACAATTCTTTTCCGTTGGAGGAGAGGAATTTTCTTGCTTTCTCATATTTCTTGTGCCCTTGCTGTGATTTCTGGTCATCTGATGGGTTGTGTGTTTCTTCCTAATTCTTGAGGTTCAATCTAAGTGGTCAGAGGCATGTGGGAGGAGGTGATCTGCAATCTCTTTTCTGTTCTGTTTGTGCATAGAGATTGCCCTACCATTCTAGAAATGAACCTGGAGAGTTAAGTCTCAGCCGAAAATCTTCATTTTTAGTCCCTCAAAGCAATATTTCACACCTTAAGTTCAGTAGCCATCTCCTAATTTATAACTCTTAATGCTGATACTAAAACTATGTATTTATGGTATTGATCTGTATGTACCATGGACATTCTAGATGGACTGTTAAAATTAGCTGAAGTGTATAACCAAGTATTTCATGTGGACCATGGGTCTATATCAGATTTTCTCCTATGAATGCCATTGGCAATCAAGAGATTTCATTATATGAAGTGTAATATTTTATTTCTGTCTTTTTTGATAGCTCTCTGAAACCAAGGCAAAGGCAATTGAGAAGATTGATGATCTCCTTGAATTGTACATGGGAATTCGAGATATTGATTTAGGTAAGAGTATGCTATTTTGAAAGAAAAAAAGTCTTATATGTCTTAATTGTATTGAACTTAATGCTTATTTGTATATCGCTTGTACTGATAACCAGTTGTACTTCTTTTTTTTTGGAGAGGTTTTTGCTATAGGGTGTGTATGCTCGCCAGACAGACAGAGAGAGACAGAGAGACAGAAAGCAGGAAATCACCCCCCAAGGGGGATGGCCACGCTGCAATCCCTTCTCCTCCATTCTCCTCTTGGGATCTTGGGCATGCACGCACACGTGCCCGGCGTGAGTTTTAAGCCACCGGGTCTGGGACTCAAACCGCGGTCGACTACATGGGAGTCCAGCGACATAACCATTACGCTAACTGCTGGTCCCCCAGTTGTACTTCTAAGGATAAAAAGTATCTGCAGTAATAAAAAGAATAATGGGGACCAGCAGTTGGCGTAATGGCCATGTCATTGGACTCCCATGTAGTCAACCACAGTTTGAGTCCCGGACCTGGTGGCTTAAACTCACATGAGATACATGTGCATGCATGCCCAAGATCCTGAGAAGAGAATGGAGAAGAAGGGATTGTGGTGTGGCGATGTCCGCCGGAGTGGTGGTGGTGGTGGTGATTTTTCACTTTCTGTCTCTCTGTCTTTCTGGTGACTGCACACACCCTATAGCAAAAACCTCTCCAAAAAAAAAAAAAAAAGAATAATGGACACAGATAATGAAGAATACTGAAAAGAAGACATGAAGACATGGCCCTTATCACTCACTAGCTATGAGAGCTTAGTGCCAAATAACTTTTAAAAATTTCAGTTAGCTCTTAATTCATGAACTATGAAAAATAAAATCTCCTCCAGTCTTGCTTTATGGATTAAAATATATTTGAAAAGGATTTTGTAAATCATACATATGAAAGTTATTTGATATATCAATTTTCACTGATTAAATTGTGTATTATAATGTTAACATTATAATAAATGTGCATCTTTTTTCTTTTTTTTTTTGAGAGAGGTTTTTGCTATAGGGCATGTGCACTTACCAGAGAGATAGAGAGACAGAAAGTAGGAAATCACCACCCACAGGAGGATAATCACACTGCAATTCTTTCTCCCCTATTCTCCTCTTGGGACTTTGGGCACACATGCGATGTGCCCAGTGTGAGTTTCAAGCTGCTGGGTCTAGGACTCACACTATCAAAGTCCAGCTTTAACCACTAGGGCACCTGCTGGTCCCGAGTTGTGCATCATTAATAGGGTTACTGAAGTCTTACGGACAATGGATCAGAAATAAGAAAAAAAAAAAAAAGGCACACTTGGCTGTAATTGATAAAGACAGTTGAGCAGTTGAATTTCTGTGTATTTTTTAGTACGCCGTTATTAGGGTATCTGATTTATCAACTAAGACTCAGTTGTAAATGACATAAAACAAAAACAATAAAACTAACTGACTTAAGGTAAAAATGGGGAGAAATTTATTGGTCCTTATAACTGAAAGGAGAGTGATAGCTCTTGGCTGCCAGAATAGCTAGATCCAGGATTCTCATGCTGTCATCAAAATGTGGGTTCTTGGGCTAGCCCCCCGGTGGTGTCATGGTGAAGGCAGCTGGATCCCCCATGGCTGACTGTGTGGTTCAAGTCCCTGACGTACAGTTTTTAAAAACATGCCAGTTCCTTGCGTGTGTGTATATGTGTGTTTCTCTGTCTCTCTCCAAAATCCTGAGAGAAGAAATGGAGATGTGACTGTCATGTGGTCATTTCCCATGGGAGGTACTTTCTCACTTTTGCTCCCTCTGTCTGTGTCTCTTTCTGATGTGTACAAGTACCCTTCAGCAAATTACCAAAAAAAAAAAAAAAAAAAAAAAAGTAGTTTCACTTCTCTTAGTTCTGGCTTTATTTTGGCCCCCAAAGTATCTCACTGGGCAACTTCATACCCTTCTTCATGGAGCCAAAATGACTGCCAGGGTTCCACCTTCTACATCTTCTTGGCATCAAGCATAATGGGGAGAGGGAGAGCTTCTTTCCTTTATTTTTACATCCTGTTTTATTTTATTTTTTGCCAGAGCATGTGTGTACTCACTGAAGAGGGAGACAGAAGGAAAGTGAAAAAGCACCCCCCCCCATATGGGGATGGTCATGCTGTGATCCTTTTTTCTCCATTTTTCTTTCCCTCTCCTTTCAGGATTTTTGGCACACATGTACTTGTGTCTTCTGGCTATGTGGGCTACAACCATGTTAACCATCACACCATGGACTGGCCCAGAGGGAAAGCCTCTTTCAAGTCAAACAAAAGACCCAAGCTTGTCTTTGATTGGATCACTTGAGCCAGTCACTGAGGTCAGGGGCATGGTTCAATCTGGGTCATATGGTCTGCCTTTGAGCTAAGAGTGCTCCTGAAATACGAGGGTCAAGATTTTGAAAAACCCAGCCTTTCCCACACAGAAGCAAGATAAATGTACCGTTAAGAAGAGCAATTAGGACCAACCAGGTGACGTGGTGGTTAAGGCAGCTGGATCCCATGTGGCTGACTGCATGGTTTGAGGGCTGGACCCAGTGGCTTGAGAAACATGCCAGGCACATGTGTGAGCCTGCCCAAAATCTCAAGAGAAGAATGGAGGAGAAGAGATTGTGTGTGGCCATTTCCCCTGAGGGTACTTTCTTTCTCTCTCTCTGTCGCTGTCTCTCTCTGGCAAGCACACACACCCTATGATAAAACTGAAAAGAAAGGCAGTTGCATGCTGGGCAGGGAAGAGAGTGAAGTATTCACTACAGTGGTGGGATTTGTGCCTGTATGCTTCCATGGGTGTGCACCGGATCAGTTCCTTAACACGGTTTTTAGTCAAGGACCAGACTATTTCCTACCACCATGTAGGGTATGTAGCTCATTCATCTTTCTCTTTTCACCTATCTCTCATTCTCCTTATGGAATTGTTAAAAGACAAAACTAAAACATATTAGGGTAAAGATCTTAACTGGCTTTTATTTGTGATTCTGGAGTCAGAAAATACCTCATTCTATAAGATAGAGTGAATGTTCTGATGAGCTGAACAGAAGAGGTTAGCTTTATAGACAGAAGAAAAACATAAAATTTGCATGTAAGGTTGGCTTTGTGGCGCAACAGTAAGATGCTGCCCAAGAGAAGTCAGAGGTCAAGTGATAACTGCAGTTTGAATCCCTGGCTGCGTCAGCTAAAACGCTGGTCATGTGCAAGATCTGATGGGCTAGAGGACTAGAGGAAGGGGATCGTGGTGTGACCAGAGCCTATGGAAGGTGTAAATCTCTCTCCCTCCCTCCCTTCTCTCTCTCTTTTTTTTAACTTTTTTTTTTTTTTTGAGAGGTTTTTGCTGTAGGGCATGTGTGCTCGCCAGAAAGACAGAGACAGAGAGACAGAAAGTGAGAAATCACCTCCCAGGGGGAATGGCCAGACCGCAATCCCTTCTCCTCCATTCCCTCTTGTGATCTTGGGCACGCATGCACACGCACCCAGCGTGAGTTTAAGCCACTGGGTCCAGGACTCGAACCGCGGTCAACTACATAGGTGTCCAGTGACAAAGCCATTACACTAACTGCTGGTCCCCTCTCTTTCTTACACTCTTGTGTGTGTGCACACACTCAGTTATGAATGAAGGCAAAACACCTGCACATATTACATCCTTACTGCATGCAGACAAGAAGTCAGAGCCGAGCTGATCCTGTAGAAAGTCAGTGTCCTCCAACTTCTGCCCCCAGTTCTTTTGCATTTAGGGAAATATCAAGATTTGCATAAATGACTCAGACTTATGACTGTTGTGCAAATGCACATGCAAATGAAGATAAAGGGGATTTAGAAATGGCAGCTCTTAAACTCAGATTAACTAGGTAGCATTTGTTGAAAGAATAATATAAGGCATTTCTATTCAGTTGGAAGTTTTCAAATAGTACAACTGTAGAAATATAAGATTCAGGAATAATGTCTGCATGATGATCTCAAATTTAGGAAAACCACTATTTTCAAAGGTGGGAACTGAAAAGACTCCTCAGATCCAGTAGGTGGTGTAGTAGTTACATCGCTGGACTCCCACAAGCTGACCATGGTTTGAGTCCCGGACTGCTAGCTTAAAACTCACACCAGGCATGTGTGTGATGCCCAAGATCCCACGAGGGGCATGGAGGAGAAGGAATTACAGTGTGGCCATCTCTCCAGGAGAGTGATTTCTCACTTTCCCTCTCTCTCTCTCCAGTGAATACATGCACCCTATGGGAAAAACCTCTTAAAAAAATTGGAAAACAAGAGTCCTCAACTTTAGAACTTAATTTTGGGTATAGTCCTTATAATTATGTACACATAAATTGGGAATAGTTAAATAAATGTATTTTACCCTTTGGTTATTAAAATATACAAGTGTGGGTCTGGCTCTGTGGTGCAGTGATAACGAGCTGCTCAAGAGAAGCTGCATCTCACATGGTGATTGTGGTTTGAGTCCTCTGGCCCCATCAGCCTGAAAGACTCTGGCTGTGAGTGCCCAGGATCCAGTGGGCTAGAGGATTAGAGAAAGGGTACCGTGGCTTGATCAGACTCTGTGTAGTGTGTGTGTGTCTCTTTCTCTCATTCTCGTTCTCACTCACATCCCCATGCATGAATGAGCCCTATAATAATTAAAGAAAAAAATTTATACAAATATATATGAGTTTAAGAAGAAAGAGAAAATAATTATAAGTGAATGGAGAAACAGTTATTTAAGAATCAGTTTTCTTTTACTCTAAGAAATTCAGGCCACTAAATCTTCCTCACATATTCCTTGTAAGTTAACTCATAATCCCTTTGTAAGGTTAACTAATCATCTGTAGCAAATTCCTTCCAATTGACATGAAAAGTCATTATCATTACCCATGATTAGCAATGTATTAGTCACCTAGGGAGGTGAAGTGTAAGGAAAGTAATTATTCGAAAAATGTCAACCTTTGTTAAATTAGGATTTTCATTCAAATCTGATCAGCATGAAATATAAATGACAGATGTGATTTAACAGATAAATGAATA